TCGTCGTTCTCTTATTAGAGAGATATGCTGAGCTGGAGTATCTCAGAAAAACGGTGGTGATAGTCTGGGTACCGGTACACGATGGGCTAGGGGGCAAGGAACGTGCAGACGAAGCAGTGAAACCTGGGACATCTTGCTCTCCATATAGAACCACCGCGGTCCGACCCTGTGACGCTGTACTGTAAAGAACTCAAGAAAATAACGTTGGCAGCGTCGATGGACCAGCTCATCCGAGGAGCACTTGCTTGTCAAGGGCACGACTGAGACATGGCCCGCCAAGGATCTGTAACATAAGGAATGGATCGTGCTCACCCGTTGAGCATAGGCCATACACGGTTGACACCCGGACAGCTGCTTTTGAAGGACTCCCCTCGCAGGTGACCCGCTTGTAGAGAAAACTGGCTCAGTGTGATACACTTGGTCGAGGTGCCGCGCCTTGGCCCCTTACAGAACAAGTAGGCATGGCACCCGACATAAAGAAAGTCCTTGGGCACGACAGAGGGGTCCTCTGTTCCGATCTTTAAAGGAAACGGGGGTGTTCCCCCATCTGTAAATATTGTAAATATCATATAAAAAAGTGTAGCACTACAGTGTGTATGTATTATTTTGTTTGTGTACATAGTTGTTGGTTTGTGTGTAAAGTCATGTTTTATTTTTATTTTTGTGTTAAAAAAAGCATAAAATCCGCTTACCACTCATAGTGAACATTGGACTGCTTCTATCAAGGCTTCAGCAACGTTGTTGTCTCCTTCTCGTGGATAAAAGCGCACATTGCTGTAGAGCACAACGAGCCGATAAGCTCGCAAACGAAGTAGCAGCCAGTAGCATGTCAACTAGGTCCACCTAGTCATTTCTAACAGTTCCTAAGAGGTGGTTTGGAAAGCGTGGATTAGGAAGATGGGGGGAACTATGGAGCTGATCGCCCACAGGCAGAGTAACGAAACTATTCCCATCTGCTTCCACATGGCTAAAAATGAGTATCTCAAAATCAATTATAAATTGACGCAGATTGTTTCAGATGTCGGAAAAATGGCAGCGGATCCTCACCGATTAAAGATAGTTTCAAGTCCTGTCTGCTCGTGCAACTGCTTGTCACCTGTCAATCGAAATCCTTCTTTGGGAATGCGTTAGCGTTGCAATGCTTGATAATAAAGGTAGTCGGTCAACTTAGGTCTACTTACTGCGAAGTCGGCGCTTCTCCAGCCGGATCAAATCATGGAGTTTGGTGCATTCGTAGATGCAATATTTCCCTTCTTAGACACTAATTAGTGCCCCCCCAATGTTTGTCAATTAAGCCAAACTTCATTCAGTATATTAATTATAATTTTTATTTGTTTTAGTTTAGTTTGCATTGATTATCTTGCCAAACAGTAAATATCTTAATTTTAATTATATGTAACAAAACTTTGGAGCAAGTTGAAATAAATAAATGTATTAAAAACACATACACACAATTACAATTAGCATATAAAATCTCTCTAGAGATGTAAATCAATCAATTTTACATAATTATCAGTAATTAATTTACATGTAATTAACAACATCTAGCCGTAGGGTTTACTGTAGTAAAGGAAAGTGAAAACAACACAGTGAGTTTAAATTACATGAGGGAGACCCAGATTTTATAATGAAAACCGTTGTTCATATTACATAATATTACTTACAATTTTGAATTACATTTTGAGATTAAAAACATGTTTTATTCAATTTTCAATTTCAAAATTTTTTTATTGAAGCCATCTCACACTTTGACAACCATGATGTTCAAAATTGCCATCTGCTACAAGTTGTTCAGTCTTATGAATGGCTAAGAAGGCAGATATCAAAAATATTTAATAAATCAACTGATATTAAATCAATCATAAACATTTGTACATGAAGTATACATAGTTTAAAAGGAAATATCAAACATCATAGACTGCGGACACGCTTACATTGGTTCACATCATATTAGGGAGAAAAATATTAATCTCATTTTCTGTTTTATCTAAGGTCGACCTGCTCTAATTGAGGACTATTGTTGTATTTTCACTTAATCTACATTTCGTGACAGTATCCTCGTAAATGGATTCCAGACAGATTGAGGAGGATCACGTACATTGAAGTGAAGTCCTGGCTTTCCTTATGCCAAGAAACAACATCGTTCTGTTCGGAAACAAGCTTAGCATGTCGTCGGCGTTAGAATAACAGGCTTTAGTAACACGTGCTCATCATCTAAGCAGTTAATCTCTTATTTGTCTTTCAGACGCTATATTTTAACTCCAATTATATTATTTATAGGATTTGCCCCGTCGACAGGGTCGAATGATTGATTGGAGAACGATTGCTCTAAATTTCGTAGTAGTTTTGGTGAAATCTAGTCGATGATCAAGGCCGACAATTTGAGCGACTACAGACAAACGTAGAGCTTTTTGATTTGATTTTGATTTATAAGCTCAATCATGTATATAGTAAAAGTATACAAGTATGTACAGAAATGAGCTTCACCCGCTTTGGTCTTTTGGCAGTACGGGATCTGTCCCGCCGCCGAAGTTAAGCTCCATAGTCTACATCTAGGTCATTTCAACAGGATTTTCAACCTCGAAACATTATCATTCTTTTCTTGAACACATTATTTCTTATTTACTCAGTTAGGCTGGTGGAATAATTGATATTCTACGCTATACATTCGCTCTAATAAATGCACTCTCAATAAAAAATAAAAATAAATTCTCTCTCGATATACAACAAAAGAAACACAAGAAAACGAGATAGAACAGGGGTCCCAAAGAGTCGCTGCCGTGCTGAAGCACATTTCTCATATTACTACTACTACTCTCTTTAAACGGAAGGAATGGCGTCTTTCAATTAAGTGGGACACATCGAACAACCTGTCTCTACATGTCGTATACATACGCGGGCTTTGGTTAAAAAGTATATGTCCCTGTGTCAACCTAGTATGTAGTCGATGATCTAGGCCGACGATTTGAGCGACTACAGACAAACGTAGAGCTTTATGATTTGATTTTGATTTATAAGCTCAATCCTGTATATAGTAAAAGTATACAAGTATGTACAGAAATGACCTATTTATTCTTTGGTGAATATATCCCTCTTGTTCAGTTTAGATACTTTGATGGCCACATATTGACCGAGTTCTTGATAATGATGAGGATGATGACAATGAAAGAGTAGGAGGGTATTCTACTTCCCAAGCACTGCAGCCTTCTGGCTTATTGTACTTGCTTATTGTAACCCGTCTAAGTCGGACCTTCGTTCCTCAAAATAGCCTCGAGGCAGTGCGTTTGTCATATGTCTTCTTAAAATGTAGTGCTTTTTAGCAGTGTAAAACGTAAAATATTAAAACAAAATGTATTGAGTAACTCGTTTCTCTCCTACTGGCTAAGTATGAACTACAAATCAGTAATTTTTTTCCACATTTGAAACCATCAAGTGCATCCTTCTCGCTATCATAACTATTACGTAATTCGTAATTATAACAATTACGAAATATTCAAGGCACATAAAGGAATGAGTTGAATAACAATGTTGACATTTTATTGTAAATTAGATTTCAGATCTATGAAGAGTATTTATTCATCAATGAAGAGGTTGTGAAGTTATACGCACACGTTAAAATCAGCAAGGTTTAGGAGGAGATTCTTTTCACGAATGAAGAACCAAAGAGGCTACGCAGAAGGTTTGTGGTGATTTAGATGTTTCATTTAGTTAGATTCATTTAGATGTTTTCTGGTTTGCGAGGCAAATATTCTCACAAGTGCAACAACCCGTAAAACGAATTCATAATAATATTTTAGTTTTTGATTGGTTTTAATTAATTCGCATACTTACCGCAGCGAGCTGAATGGCCAATAGTCGACCCATTGTCGACGAGGTCAAGGTTTCAGGATTCAGCCGACTGCATTTCGGCGCTGGGTGGAGAGAAGTGAAGAGCACGACAGAGAAAAAAGTAAAGTAAGAAGAACGGAAAAAGAGTGAGGAACAGGTGTGGACCGTATGTGGTTTTATGCCGAGTATAAAATACCTTCAAGGTCGAACTGACCTTACTAAACTTTTTTCGGACGCGATTCTAACTGACCATTCTCAATACTGAAACGTGATGAAGATAAATTACCTCCTTATTCTTTAACAATGCTATTATATTATATTATTTTATTGCTTTCATTTTATTTTTATTATTATACATAAAAATTAGGATGGAACCGATTCTTTATTATCCATCTCTGTGTACTATATATTATAATAATATGCAGTATGTCGAATATATAGGAGGGTTTTGACAGAGAAAAGAGGTCGAAGGTATATTTTAAATTGAATACGGAAGCTAACACCATAAAATAGCTTCCTCAACGTAAACTCCACCGTACCAATCCGTGTACATGTGTGGTAAATTGTCGACTTATAGTATTCTCTCGACTGCGGGCGTTATCGTTAAGAAAATGCCGGTCTCGCCCGCCTTATTTCTGGAGAGCGAGGATCCCAGCTTTTCACATGGTCAGTTGCTCGGACCAAATAGCCTAACGACCACGGAGAAGAAGTAACCTACGGTGCATCAGCTGAGAGGACGATCGTTCTATTCGATAAAAGCATTTATCGGATTATTACCAAGGAAAGAAGACAGCATTCTCTTATTAGACCTATTAGCGTTCAAATTCCCAGCATGTGCTGAGTGAGTGGCATCATCATTACAGGCGATGTTGCTTCGGTTCCTCAGATGTGCATACGTGTATATATATATGTATGTATATGTATATCACGGTTAAATCTCTGGGTATTGTTATTTGTTAACATAGATGAGGTTTTATACTAGCTAGTTTCCCCATCAGTAAATGCTGTGTTTCCTTCCTCGGCTTTTCTTTCAGACCGACGTTGACGTTACGATCGGAAAGGAATGTATTTACAAAATGTAGATGTCATACTTAAAAGTGAAAAAAAATTCAGTTTAGCAAACCACTAAACTCAACAAAACGACAAAAAACAGGAAAAATAAGCAGGTATTTATTTCTAATGTTGTGGAATTTATTGAGACTAATTATTACATATAATAAATGTATTTTCCCATACTCGATGAAAAGATAAACAACATCCTTACATTTATGCTTGGTCGATCAGAAGGCTTTTATTTTTGTGGAGACGTTGTCTCAAGGCCAACTACGGAAATCTCGATATGGAATCTGAAAAAGACATTATCATTAAAAAACAGTTAAAACCTTTTCTATTATTATATATTTTATTGGAATTACGTATTCATAAGGCAATTGTTTTATACTGTTTTATTATATTCTGGTTGTTTCCCTTCAAAACCTGAGGAATTTTTAAAACATTTGCCTTTTTCGTACTTGACACACGTGTCTCCTTATATCTGTAAAGACCCAAACTGCACAAACTTAATATCGCTAGTTTTATCCCACGTTTATAAAAGTGTACACCAAACAGAACGTTTAATCTAACACAGTAGACCTAATCCGTACTCATGACCCTCTAAAAGTACGAACATAAGATAATGGAGCAGAACTAACACTGAATATGGAGAAACGCATATGATCGTCCCATATTGACAAAAGACTGCTAAGAAGATGAACTAGTGAACGTTTCTCGTTGGGATATTAATAAAAATTTGTATTTTCATATCATGCCTTTAATTTACAAACCTTGCTTGTAAACAATATCGAATTCTCTAAAACCCGAACTTTTGTTACATTTTAAATTGCTTCTTTCAATTAATTATTCTTTTTATTTTAGGCCTGGGTTGAGATGAAAAAGTTAGTGTCACGAGCGGGATTCGAACCCACGAACTTCCGCTCGTGGCACTAACTTTTTCATCTCAACCAAGACCTTACATAAAAAGAATAATTAATTGAAAGAAGTGATTTGGCCAATTACACCACTAAACATAAATGGATTAATTACAAATTGCTATGAACGTTAGTGCAAATAAATTCATTTCGTAGTAGTAGATAGTAAGATAGAAACATAATATGTATTTATATTGTTTTGTTATAACTACACTTCAAATAATTTGTTTATATTTTTAATTGTTAAAAACAAAGTATTTTAAATAATAATTTCTCTTCCGTTGGATTCTGCTACATATAAAAAATATTGGTCTTGTATAACATCTTTGATCGAAGCAAACAATTATGTACATTCAATTTGATTTGCATTAGTTCGGACTATCTACTGACCAATGATTTATGGATGATCTCATTTTCTAGTATCTTTCTTTGGACCCAAAGTATTCGTTTAATTGGGAAGCTGGACCGGCAAGACAAATGGCGAAATAAAAATAAAATCCAAGGATAAGACGCGAGTTTTTGGATGTACAGCCTGAACCAGGATTGAGGACACATCCTGACTGTACTCCAAAAGAACCGGTCGAAATATGACCGTAACAATCACATACAGCCTTTTGTATAAATGGGAAATGCAATTTTGACGATCTTGAACAGGTAGTCAGTACGTCGAATAAGTTGTCTTAAGAAGTAACATTTGAATTGTATTGATGATATCAGGGCAACTTGAGACAATTAATGTAAGTCCAAAATTGACGATATCACGGTGTTGGTAAATAAAATAACTGTTTTTATAAAGAGAATGCGATAGTTTAAGTAACTTGAAAATTTAATAAAAAAACCGTTACTCACTGTATACAAGTGGTAATATGCTGCTTAAAAAAGAGAAAAATAAGATTATTTTATAATTGTAATTTCAAAAAAGGATTTCTTTCGATACCTGTAACATGTGGGCTCTACTGCTCTGTAAAGACGGGCCAGGGTTGGCTAGCAACAGCAACTACAGCAACAACGACCACCACGTGCGTCGGGGAGGTGTTCCAGTGTTAGGAAGATTGGTGTCTCCAGTGGCGCTTGTACTTCCCAAAGCTGTTTTAGGCGTCATCCGCTGGGGTAAGATGGACAGTCATCGATTTAACTGCAATGGCCGATTGTGAGAAGACGCCGGGCCATCGTCCCGCTTTCCCGCAGCGGCAACCGCCGACCGTTTTAAAAATAACCCTAAATAAAAAAAGTCGGCCTCGTTTGGCGGGGAACCGTCCGTTGTGCAGAGTTTGGTCGACGTAGAGGGGAGAGGAAGAGGTTCAACGGCCTATCCGTCTGGGACCATGACCCTAGTCAAGGTTGGCCCAAAATACCGCCCTGCGCTCGCCGCTACCTACCTCAACTTGTCCCAGTACCATTGCACCACCGCTCTCTTGTCTCGTCTCCCAACCATTCTCACGTGCTACTCTGTTGATTACAAAAAATCTCATCATTGCTAATCGCAATTGCTACATAAAATTAATTTCATCGACCCTTACTGATTTCCTTATAACTCGACTTATAGCTTCCACAAACACGATTCAATATAATTAGTACTATGTATATTTACCAAAGGAGCTTTCCGTTTAGTCAAACTTGACATTTCACCAAACATTTACCCTGCACAACTGTAACTTTATGTGATTGGGCTACAAAATGCGTTTCTTCAATTGTCACTAAATACTAATGATAATCGATTAGTTCTTTAAAATCGGTTACCTATCTATTATACTTCATACTATCTTGTGTGCACACTAGTGCGTTTTTCAATTTACCACACGTCGATTTTAAACTTATAAGTTTGTTGAACCCGTAACGCACATTAATTAAGCGAGGTCTAATATTTTTAATTAAGTGGATACTTCCTCGTACCCCTTCTTATCAATATTTTCTGGGTTAATGGAAAGCTACCCGGATACGGTATAATGTAAGGACCGTCACTTATTGCTAATATCTTTAATCGATTGTACTCACTACGAGCAGTCTTTCGATTTACGACTTACTTTTCAGACAAATAAAATCCTTTTAGAATAAGAGATTTTCAACTTGATACAAAATCAGAACGTAAATACCAGATTTGTTGTACGATAATTAATGAACAGTAGGAAAGTTTTACTGGTAGCCACAATTTCTTTTGGAGTGTCAAATTTATTTGAGTGATACCATCCGATAGTCTTCGTAACTAAAAATAAGTGGTTGGGGATAGCTCGATTGTAATAAATACTATACAGCTTTCATGGCCGATTATGCTGAAATCAACCAGTACGAAGAATTTGATTTTTGGTTTTATATCACATTGAGGAAGGTGTAGGCACGGAATTGATCATTGATTGTTCTTACACTTGAGAATCTATTTACGGTATATTCCTAAGACAGGTTGACTGGCCGTGAGATGTTCTAAGTGAAACTTGAAAAGCAGACAAAAGTGTGGGGGTTTTGGGCGAGAGCAAAATCAAGGACGCGAAGCGAAGCGAGAAAAGTGAATTTGCCCGAGGTTCGAGTTTAGTAATTGAGAACCCGATTTTGGAGAGGGAGAGAAAATGAGAACGGAGAACACGACTCATGTTGAGGAAGGACCGGCAAAACGTAAAAACATTGGCGACAGCTCGCCCCGCCGGCCTACACACGTTACCATCCTTTCTCTTCCTCCTTGATCCTTCATCGTCCCTTGTTCATCACATCTCGACATGTCACTCGTTTTCTAATAAACGTGTCATGAGAGATATATTATTAGAAAAATATGAAAGTTCTTTATCTTTGAATGAAAAAAAAAGAAGTGATTAACAGATCGGCCATCGACATTTTGTCCGAATTCGACTTTGGCTTAAACGTGCATTGATTTTACCTTAGGCCATTGCATAGGAGAAATCTTTGCCCAAAATTAGTAAAGGTTAATGTCCGAAGCACATTTTCTCCAATCAACTGATTGAATTTTGTTTTTATGAAAACTGTCATAATCATTGAACAACAATTATGCTCTAACCTGCTGTCGAAAATGTGCCCTCGTTCGAAACAACCGCAGTTTTTTATTTTTACCTAGACAACAAAATCTTAACAATAATATTCTTATTATAAACGTATCCGTCCAACCACGAGATTGGGTTCGGGGGGGGGGGATGCTGTCAACAGCTGCAATTCAACACCCAACGATGCAGTTCCAAACCAATCATACGTTCATTCTTAAATACGGTGATGGAATAGTCGATATTCCTCCACCGCCCTTTACACATATTATACGATTAACCTAATTGAGAGTCGATTAGGTAGATTATTGTACTCAACATTTCGCCATTGACTCTCTCACATTAGTCACACTAATAAATACATACATACTAATAAATACATTCACCATCCACACAAACTAGTATACACAACTATTATTATTATAAACAAAGAACAACCCCGTTTCCACCAAGAATCGGAACAAAGGTACCCCAGACAGTAACCACCGTTTTACCGAGCCGCTCCAGTGGTACCTCTCCATTATTATAATGTTATCGTATAATAAAATATTTTTATTTATCTTCACATTACGACTTTGTATCCTATGAATCTGATGTAGAATGTATTCGTGGTGAAAAGACAAATGTAACGTACTCGTAAGTAGGAGGACTTGGCCACTGTTCTGATTTCTCCGATCCGATATTTTTCCTAAATTGCGCTACCAACTGAGCAGCATGTTTTTCTTATAAATGAACGTAAATAAATTATTACTGGATAATCGTACATGAACTGCTAATACTCTACTTTGATTTATGATGTCTATACCAAGACAGTGCTTCCTCTACGTATTAATTACCATTATATGGAAACAACATGATGTTGTTATTTTAGGGCTTAAAGCCCCTTGAATTACAAATCTACATAAAAGAGCCGTATCTAGACCCATTCTCAATACAAATACAAAAGAACAATTATAAAGTTACAAAATACATACATTTTAAACATACACTAAAATGTAGTGTATAAAAGAGACAATTATTTTAATGATACAGATGATGTAATAATAATTTATCAATCAGGGCACCTGGTGTTTAGTTGCTATATTGTATCACGATTGACAGGAGGTAATCAAATAGACTGGACTTAAAGGTGGGAAGAAAAGAGGCGAGGCGGGTAGAGCGAGGAAGGGAATTCCAGAGGCTGGATGAACGGATGAGGAAGGATTGACTGAAAGCAGTAGTTCTGTGTTAGGAGGATAGAGATCAGAAGAGCTAGAACGAGTATGTCGGTTGTGTACCGAAGATCTAAAGGTTAGGAGATCATATCTTTCCACTCACGATTGGAAAGATATTGTTTGTTAAAGGAATGAGCCAAATAATCTGCGGTGGGAAGATTATAACCACTTCAAACTAATGTACATATCAGTCAAGCGGAACATCCTTGGGGAGCCGAAAATTAGCGCTTCATTAAGCTATCATCCAACCCTTCTGTGAGTTCCCTGTACTCCATACATTTATATTCAAAGTGAGGGAGAATAAGAGAAGAAACTAGGAGTTAACGGGTACTAATGGGAAAAAGAGAAGGAGGGTGGAAAAACAGATGCGGGAGATCTGGGGAATATGTGGTTTCCAAGTTAAGGTCTAGTCAAGTACAATCCCAAGGCTCATGACAGAGGGTCAGAAAGAAATAGTTAATCGTAAACAGAGGGTAAGGATTGGAGGACGGAACGAGATCTAAACACAATGGCATGAGATTTTTCTACATTAAGGTTAAGATCATATTTAGTGGCCCAGGAGCTAATTGAATTTAAGCCCTCCTGAATTTTTACTTTTGCAGCTTGTAAGTCAGTAAATAATAAATTTTATTAAAATACTGAACATAATTAATTTCAGGGGACGTCGATGGCCGGAACGGTTAACGCGTTGACTGGCGCGCATCACTGTAAGGTAAAGGGTCCAGATTTGATGTAGGGCCACTGGATTCCAGCCCTTCATTCGGATCCGACATATTTACACATGGGTTCTTATCTAAGAGCTGATATGACCCTTGCTGTTGCGAATCCACATTAAAAAAAGAAACAATGAGCCCTTCGATGAAATTAGTCTGCCACTGTCTCTGCGCTAACTACGGCTACCGCTACATGTTTCGATTACTCTAATTACTTTAATTTCAGTACTGGCATAAATTTTCTTGCTGTAATATTTTGTTGTGATTTCTTTTCCCCACCTTTTATCCTGCAGTTAAAACAGAATACACTAGTGTCAACATACAAGTTTCTTATGCAGTGTGTAACTGGGTGCATCAATGGAACAAAGACATTTTTTACCACTTGCAACCGTTGTAAATTAATGCTGTATGTTCCCCACTTAAATTATTGTAGCTTTTTGCCAGTTTGTGTAACAATATTTTATTATCAAAAGTCAGTTATGAATCTTATATGTATGACAAACGAGAATGTTGAACTCTTACCCCTAAATATAAGAATTTTGTTTTGCAATTGGGAATGGTTGAAATTAAAAAATAAATAAGTAAAAAAATAATTAAGTAAGTATATTATTGTATTGTGCTGTCAATGTAGTATATTGTTTTCAATCACGTTACGGTCATTGACAATGGCTCTGTATTTATATGGTAATTATTAATTATTAAAATGTATATACAAAATAGTTATATGCACTGTTTTAAAATAAATATAAAACAATACATAATGCAGTAGTAATTAAATTTCCAGTATATTTCATATAGTTTATTAATTAATGTTTTCAGGAGTAATTCGCACGCTTGCTAATAGACAGGTAAGTTGAAATAAGCAAAAATCGAACGGCTTATAGGAAATACAATTATTAGGAGCAGTACCAATTCTGTTGACGTGTAGGTGATACTGCATTACAATAAAAATGAGGTCAGCTGTGTCATATGAACAGCGGAGGGAGTGCACTCGCCTATGCAACTACTTAAAATTCAATATTATGCAATGCACCTGGGCCCTATACGAGTAAGGTACCATAAATCAGCCTGCACTTATACTACAATTTTCAATTTCAAGACGTGACACTTTTTTGCTTGAAACGCGATTAGGGGGGTGAAATTACAAATGACAAAGACATGTATTGATTTCTCCCATATCACGATATCACGATTATCACTATTCACATTTAATTGCAACAACTGTTTATTTATAATAGTAAGTGAAGTGAGTAATTCCAGTTATATAGGAGGGTTTAACGTACGTCGGGTAACGAGTTCGGTGTCGTACACGATGGGGTCATACTATTTTACAATACATGTTGACAAATATAATGTGATAAAAAGGTCCAAGGGCATCCGGGGACCGAATACAGAACGTCTGGCATGGCAAATACAAGCATTCACAATATTAACTTTGATTTCGAAAATATTATTCGTGTATATTGATTTATTTTCTTGCGGCCTAATTTAATTCTTACATATTAGTAAATATGATCCGTATGTGGTTGGTTGAGTGCTGGGAGATCCTCAGTATATAATAGCTTCTGTCAAACGTAAAATCAAATTCACGTTTCACATTTTTACACGTGCTGATGTTTAAAGTTGCTGGTTTGTGTCGTATAACTCAAAATTCGGCACGGAAAATGATGAAATTCACCAGAACAAAAACGAATGACAAACGCAATGAGGATATGCAATCAATGATAATCTACCTGCAGAAACTCAACTGACCGAAACTTAAACCGAGAATACCGGTTTCCACCCGAAAGTTCGAGCTGTTGGTAATGTGGTTTACAATTTATGGTGAACAAGAAAGAGATATATTTTTTACAGAAAACCAACTGTTTTCGTATAAACAACATAAATACAAGTCGACTTAAATAATTACTACTATATGACTTTATTCTTTAATATATATACAAAGTTTACAATCGGCAATATATATTACAAAACAAGAGAGAGACGTACCTCATGGTTTAAAACCGTCTGAGAGTAGTATCTGAGGGGGTCTTAAATATATATTTGGTTTTATTGGTTGTTGTAACTACATGTTGTAAAATCCCATATTCTTTTATTCTTCACTTCTGTACTGATGTTCTCACGAGTATTTTGCCAACACTAGCCACCGCTAGTCTTTCAAATATAAACTAATATCAAATTTTTCATAAAATTACGTTTGATTTTTCAGAACCCAGTTTTATGGAAATATTATAAATAATCAGGTCACAAAACCTGTGAACAAGAACTAAATTTTACAAAAAGAGCCCAGTTTTTATTTTCTAATATTTTATCGACTATGATGTTTAGCGGGACAAAATAGTATCAAAAATGAAAAATAAACGGTAAAACGGGTTGTTCTACAACAAGGCTGGCCCCTATCGAAGAACAACAGATGGTCATCACCGTACAATTGTTCTTGACCTTGCTCTGGTCCTGTGATTTTATGAAAAAAAAATAATATGAGCCGAAATTTAGAACAAGCGCGACTTCAATTTACAACAGTAATGAATTAAATTTGTAAAACGAACGGCAAAATGATGGTCATAACACGTTTGAAATAAGATAATTTTTAACGTGCTAAAATAAATAATTCAAAATTTTGTTCCTTATCACGTATGGCAGCCAATAGATACAAACATTATTATTTTGATATTGCAAATATGAATGTGTTGATAATTATTGTTTTAAGTAATTGAAAATATTATTTTGTAAATAGAGGGGAACTTCACATTTTATGGTTTTGGAATACTTTCTATAGATAGAACATTGGCTGTTCATGGGGATGTTGATGGGGCACTTACCTCATTTATATCAGTTCGATAGCTAATATCTGTTTTGAAGAATTCATATTTAAATCTACAGTTTGATATACAACATTGATTCATTGGTGAAAATTTCAATGAGTTAAAGAATATTTTAGTTAATCAATATTAATAAGGAAGACGTTTAAGGATTGTCTTGAAGATTAATGATTCAATCAAATAACTTTGAATGAAAGGTGTAATAGTGAAATTTTCTGTTGGTCTGCAATCTATCGAACAATATATCTAGCTTGAAGTCTTCTATCCAGGTTGAAGCTTCAGACTGCCTGCTTAGTTTTTTTTTTTTTTTAATAGGTAGTCCAGATTTCAATAAACGTGCTTATGATGTTATAAATACTGTTAAATGAAACATGCGTTAATGTGAGATAAAGCTATCTATCCTATATCGGCTAGAAGCGTACTCGTCAAATATGACTCCAAGTGATGGGCTGTTCCCCGGGAGCTTTTGTCGCGCCATTTCGCCTACCCTCCATTGTTCGACCAACTGAAGTCCCAGTTTTCGGAACCACATTCGAGAGTCAGAACTGAAGAACAAACGTCTCAGTGAGCGACATTTCGCATAAAATCAGGGAGATCCAAAGAGCCCTGGATGATCTGTGTAATTGCCTAACCAATCCTTCAACGACAAGGCTTGAGCATCAAAAATCGATTGTTAACTGATATGACATGAGTGCTATTTAGTCGGATGAGTTTCTTCTTTTTGCGATCGTATCTTTATTTTGGTTTCAGTGATTTTCCTCAATAATAACTAGGTTTAAAGATTAATAGTTGACTTTAAACACAAACACAACATTAATAACTTGTTGGGGCGTTGGTGGCCGCAACGGTTTAGGCATTGAAACGGCGCTCATCACTGTAAGATAAAGGTGCCGGGTTCGAATCCAGCGGCCCTGCATGCGAACCCGACATACTTACAAGTGGGCTTTTATTCAAAAACACTGCCATCCGAGGGTTTATATTATGACCTCTGCTGTTGCGAACCCTCGTAAAAAAACTGTTGTTTACTTTATGATATGTTACTAATCCTTTTACACTCTTTAGATTAAAAGTAAAGAAAACCAGTTCACTTTCATCCTTTCCAGAGCCAACTTTTCGAGTGAGTTGGTTTTTGGAAGATCTCGTCCGGGCTTAACGACGGAAGTAGCGTCCGTTACAAAGCCCATGATCGTTGTGCCGCGCCCTACCATCCACGATGGCTTACAGTGGCCACCAGAAGTCTCGATTAAGAGAAAGTGGTGTCGACCATGATATACGCTAGAGAGATCGTTATAGTGCTCTTACCATCATTTAATGGCTTCGGATAGGTTGTGAACTCCAAACAGAGCCTCACATCAGGTTTTCTACTAATGGAGGGATGTACTCTACCAGACGATTGCCGATTGGATTGAATTGTGGCAATCAGATGACTTGACTGTGTGTGGAGAAGACGCTTCACGAGCCGTGAGTATGTCACAGCCTTTGCAAAGTTATGGCATGGTGTGAAACGACGTCCATGTCAAACTGATTATCGTACAGAATGGATCTTTAACTGCACCTAGATACATTGAGGTGATACATTCTGAAAGCTGTAGTCCCATTCGCTCCATTTATTTGGCACAATTTCATATTAATGCATGATAATGCTCGACCGCATGCAGCTCGATTACCACCCTTGAATGGTGTTACCACACGAATTTGCCAGCACGTTCTCGTGGCATGAATCTTGTCATCACTTTTGAGACACGACAATGAGGCCGGATCCGACAAGCGTTAACTGCTTCAAGCTGCTGTTGTTGAAAACTGGGATTTTGGTTCATAAGACGAAATCCGATCGTTTATATACTCGGTGCCTAGGAGGAGGCTTCTACGAGGCCAGATGAGGTAATAAGCGTTATTGAGAACAAAACTATGTAATAAATTGTTAGTTAAATTTTAATCAAAAATGATTTTCCTGTTTTCTGGTGAATTTTCTTTTAAATCATTGCAATTAAATATTTTTTATTCAAAATCTTGAATTTCTGATCTAGTTTAATATGTTTTACATTAAATTAAGTACGATGTAATAAAAATACATATATTTTGCAATAAACAACAAAATATGAGTATCTTGTCTTTGAGTGTGTATTTTTTTGGCTCGGTCAGTTATTAGGTCTGTTTGAGTTTGATGGTTTTTAGTAGTACAAAAAAGTCTTTCGCTTGCTTTGTCATTGTTTTTTTAATTTGATTTTTATTTTGTTTTTTATCATTGAGTGAATTGTGTTTGTATTTTCGTTACGTTTTCGAGTATGCCCGATTTTCCTTCAGTCTGAACATCACGGAGTAAGTCTGAATTTTGGAAAATGAATTGTAATATGTAAATAAATATACATTTAGCGCTTCTAATCCACTGAAAAAATTAAATTAGAGTAATTCGCAGTTATATTTTTGTAAGTCCAAAGTCGGGTTTAAAGATGAAACAGTACATTTGTAAGGTATTGAAGTGAACAATAAATAAATGTTTTCAAGATTTACTATAAACAGTAATAATACTGCAATATAAAATAATACAAATACCTTTTAGTTGAAAATATATTTAAAGCGGGTTATTTATGTCATGCGCTATCGTCTGTCTGCTCTGCTGAAAAATGCACTGCACAAAGATGTTTTTTTAAATCAACATGTAAATATTGTAAGAACTAATAAAATGATGTTAGGAGTTGGAAAATATGGGAAAATAATCATCTCCAATGTATATAACTTTATATAAAACACTGTATTATATTTTTTTCTCAGTTATTTTGTTCTTTATATCATGATAAAGCCATTTAAGAACACTGGACAATCAGTCGTGCTCGTTTTGACAATCTTCTTAAAAATAGAAAAATACGGTTTCATATTTTTATTTATTGGTTTTAAAATATGGCCAGACTCTACGCAGAATATGAATTCACTCATTTTCGTATTAAAATTTTATCTTTTTAAATTACACAATTAATTACTTTCAATAAAAATTAAAAACATTTACAACTTACAGTACATAAAGTTTTGATCTATTCAAGACTAAAATAATAACAGCAAACTTGTCCTCCTGAGTGATTTGTTTCTTTTTTGCTTCATTTAATCTATTTAATATCACACTTTTAAAAGATATGTATTTTACAGATTCCATCTTCATTGCTTTGTTTCCAATCAACATTTCACATTATATGCAGTTTAATAGAAATTTTTTTAATATAAAACATCAAATTGGTCAGTATTATAAATGCAACCATTATTCTATTTTTACAAACACTGTCGTTCTCATTAAAAACATGAATTAGAATATTTGTTTGTTTTTTCCATTAAAAAACATTGATTAAGAGTTCACCATGCGTTACATTTTTTAACTATCCTATATTTATAATTATAATAACAAAAATTTTGGCGTGTAAATGAGAATTCACATTGTTTTGTCTACTATACTAAATTTAATTACAGAATTATTTGAAATATGATCATTAGAAGAATATGTCTTCGGTTTCGTTGAGATAACAAACTAATTAAAAAAAAAATAAACAAAATAAACATTAACACAAATGATGATTTCTGCCCTATCTATTATTATTATTATGGCGTCATTACCATTAGATCAAAAATTGTTATTACAATATGATATCCACATCATCGGGGATAATTTTGATTATTTCGCTCACGGAAGAAAATCGACAGGTAACTTTCTAAATGCTTTCTGTTTTGGGAGATCAAAATGAAAAAGTAGATTTTCCAACAAATTACGCACACTTTCATTCTTCGAATTTTATCGTTATTAATTGGACTAACAAAATACAAAAGCTGCTAAGTTTCAAATAAGTGGTCCCTTTTTCAATGAATTAATATATTATTATGAACGGATAGACTTTTTCTCACTATTATCGAAGAGAACACATTTTGCACTAACAAATCATTCCAAATAAATTATTGACACATTCAAAAATATTTTTGTTTAGTTAATTTAGAAGAAAAAAAACGTGAGCATTGGCAAACTAACAAATTGTGCCTAACAAACATAATGTGTAGAAGTCTGTACATCGCTATATTCCACAACACTTTAAAATTCTTATATCAACGTCTAAATCTTTTGAAATCTCTATACCAATATGTATCACTTGAAGTACCTTGAATTTTGTTTGAATGGGCAGAAACCTGTTTAGTAAACTGTTTATCTAAAAAACTTAAAAACTTTACACCTCGTTATTTTGAGTAAACCATAAAATATATGGAAATCTTCCCAACTAGGAGTTAATTTTTTCTCAGATTTTTGACATAATATTGATATAAGTCCAAGTTTCAATTTAAAATGTTGATTAATAACAGCAATCTAAGTAAACAACTAAGCAATTAATAGTATTTGAAATAAAAATCTAAATATACAAATTAAATCCTAGTAGAGTACAAAAATATTAAAACAATAACATAAACTTAATATTCATAAATTGAAGCCTTTCAGGTATGTATGGCTGAACACAAAATGTATTTGATTGTTAAGTCTAATAATTACAAAAATATATGTTACAAAATATTTTTACATTTTGAACAAGGATTTTGCATTTCGCTAAAAAAAGCTAATAGTTTTCTATTACATATTTTACTGGGCCAACAGTTCTCTTGAAATAATTACAAAGTTCTGTTTTTTATTTATTTTTTAAAATATTTTTTTTTGCATTGGGGTCGTAGAACTTATACAGAGCGAATACTAACGACATTTAGGAATCAAACAATGAATGATGTCCATCTACTTTGATTTTGATCAATTCTCCCTATGTAGCTTTACTAATTCATTCTGAATAAGTTTCCATCAACCAGGTTATCCGCAAAACAATTATAGATACATCTTAAACTATGCATTTTGTAAAAGTATTGGTCTTGTTTCTATTGGACAAGTACTATTCAAAAATGCCTTTTAATTAAAAATTATTAGTCTAACAGAGAACATATGACATTACAGAGGACAAATGAAAATGGTGTTGTAATAATCTTTAATAGTAAAAATATCTGAGTTAACAATGGATTTAAATATCACAAAGCCAAAGTTCTTGCGACGAAGGCCCATTGCACAGTTACATTTATCGTCCCTTTACGAAAAAACAAAACAAAACAAATATAATAAAATCGTGTAAATTTTTGATGGGCAAATTAACACTCACTTCATTTCTGTCTTCAATACGAATTTAAATATAATTTTAATAGTAACATAAAACACTGATGTGTCGAGCCCTTTGGAATGGTATTTGTTAAATAGCGATTTAACATATATTTTGGAAACAAGAGAATGGAATGCCGTACAAGTAGGCGGTTTAAAACCTGTATATGTAAAGGTCAATATTTCTCAATTGCACTTAACAAAAAACAACACCCTTGTAAAATTATCATTAACAATAATAGTAAGTAAAAAAAAAATAATAAAAAAAATAAAAATCGACCTAAAACAAAATCCAACTAACAACTCGTACATAATTTTTTGTTTGGATCTTATTTTCCTTTTTTTCATTTAAATTCATTGAAAATATATTTGGAAATTTGGCTTAATCACAGACAGTGAATATTTGAAGGCGTCCCAAGATGATCGAACACATTGCTTACCCCGCAATTATCCCATAATGAAAGACCACAGAACATAAAGAAAGAAGAAAACAACAATCTAGTGATGCGATTAATGGGGCGAGTAAACTGGAACTTCTTAGATAGCAATATTTTATAAAAATGTAACAGTTTTTGGGTTTGGAATAGACTTGAAGGCCAAAATTGAATAGTTTTGCCGGAACATTAATGCGAAAAATACTTTATAGTTTAAGCTCTGAGTGCATAGAAATGGTTAAATTTGAATTTTCTTTGTGGAGAGAGGACACCGATAAAAATGTTTTAAATGACATTTATTAAAATTTTCTGACAATGGTACAAGAGTTTTAAAACATCGAACAATCAATAGTGTTATATAATATAATAGTTTATATATTTGTAAATATTCTATATAACGAGAGAAACGATCTTGACACGTTATTCAACAAACATTTTTTTTTTTCAATGAATCACGTCTAAATTTTAAATATCACGTTAGAAGGATTCTCGACTCACCACAATGACATGCTCCAAAAAAGATCTTGGGAATGCCCTCGGTAATTGAACATTTAGTTTTGCTAAAATATTTTAACCTCATTTATTCATTAAACTTCATTTTTTCCTCTTCAATATATGTATGTAAAAAAGATAGATGTATTTCGTTTTAGGATAATACCAACACTCTTCAATCACAAAATCTTCAATTGATTTTTGTCACACGTCTCTGACACGCTTTAGAAGCAAATTTTTAAAAGTAATTTAAAGCAACTGGATCATTTTTTATTTATATACATTAAAAAGAAATCAGTAATTACATTACTAATTTCAGAGTTTGTACAAAAATTTAAGACTAGAACTTTCAAAGCTTCGAAGCTACAATCAGAATTTTATCCGCACATAAACACAACAATAGAAGCACCAAAGAGGAATTTTAGAGACGAGTCGGTTTTTGTCAAGGGATTTCAGGTGATTGGTTGGAAGGAGGATAGGAAATAGAAATGAGGAGGAAAGGGTGACGCCGCCCTCGTCTCAGCATTGTGCCGTGTCACAGACGTTCGTTGGAGGTTCTGGGCTCGTCTCAGGCTTGACGGTTATCGGTGACTCTTTACTCACCAACGCTTTATTCTGTTCGGTCAAAGCACCTCCTCGACACAACTGCTCCAACAAAACTTTGCCCGCTTCCTTACCGGCACCGGGAAGGCCTGTTTCTAAGCTCGATCTAATTATACCGTCCAAAAAGTTGCCGTTCTCACCTGTACCGTCGTAGAGGCTTTCGGCGATTTCACGTGTCGTCTTCGTCAGCGGTTGCGTGGCGTCTTCGTGGAGTCGCTGCATCATCTGGCTGGCGAATAATTCCCTCCCTCCGTAATCCAAGGGCAGTGCGGAAAAGGGAGGCGCCGAGGGCCAAAAGGGGAAAGGGGGAGCGCTATGGAAGCCTAAGGCTGGGGTGTCGAACAAACCGGGAACTTTGATACTTCCGTTAGCGGTGGCGAGAGGAGGTGTGAATCTCTGCGTTCTGGGCCTTTCGTCTTTCCGCTTGCCTTCATCGGGCAGGATTTGGGGTTGGGGCTTCGGCTCCCTCTTTCTGGGTCTCATGAGGTGCCTCTCTTTGACTTTATACTCAAGGGTCGAATGAGGGACGCCGTAATAAGATCCTGCTCGGTGAACACTCATCTCTCCTCTTTGCACTGCTCGCACAGCTTCGACGAGACTGTCACGGTCATAGTTTCTATACTTGCCGCGTTTGGGACGCGTACCTTTTCCTCCACTCGAGTTCGACCCAGTGCTCCCGGTGCCGCAGCTGTTGTTTGTGACGGATTTATTTCCAGAGGAATGTTTCTTTTCGTCAAGATGGTTGTTATTGAGATTTCTCATGACATTGAGATCTCTCCTAAAATCCAACGGCTGCGGTGTCGGCGTAGTCAGCGTGACGGATGACTCCGGCGTCGCCAATTTGTTATTTATCGTGTTAGTGATGACGTCCCTAAGACTTACAGCATGGAGTTTGACAGGTGGCGATTCGCTCCTGGAAGCCAGTTGAGGGTCCATGGGCGACCCTCCGTCTTTGGGTCTGTAAGAAGGAACTCTTAGGATGACCCCGGGCTCCTCTTTGTCGGTCGAACAACTGGGCCTCGATCTGGCCAACCTGTCGACGAGGTCGGGAAGCCCGTGGGGCGCACCGAGAAGTTGTTGAAGGTATGGCCAAGCTCTCCCGTCAGCAGGTAGTTTCAGAACGTCTTCCATGCTCAGCAAAGGCCTCCTCAGGACTTTCACCACTTCACGCTCCTCCTCGGATAGGTCCCTGTCATCATCATCATCGTCGTCATCATCCTTGGCACTTTCTATACCTCCTACGTCCCGTCTCTCCTGGGACAACTTGTACACCTTGTTACGCAATGTGGACCTCGGGATGCCGTATATAACGGCTGCCCGTCTGGTCCCCAGCTTGCCACTTTGTATGTCTCTAAGAGCCGCTTGAAGTTCTTCTTCTGTGTAAGTCCTCCGCCCAGTTACAGCACTCAGTCTTGGCTTCGCCCTGTCGTCAAATACAATACTACTACAACACTCACTACTTCTGTTCTGGCACTTCCTTGCAAAGTGCATGCAACAATAAGCTCAAAGTAAATTTGTCTCACTGATTGTGCAAAATAAACTTGAAAATAATAGAAATGACTGAAGAGTTGTCATTTCGAGCATGCTTTGATATGCTAAGAGTAAAAGGGATATGATTTGATACTCACTTAAATATGTGCTTGTTTGGACTCGGAATTTTGATCGAGGGCGGAGGTTGGGCTGGTTTCGCGCTCAAATCTAAAGGCTCGTCTAAGCATTCCGGAGAATCCGGGGGTTTAATGTACCATTTTGGAGAGGAGTCCATGGGGCTCGGGCTGTCAGACCCGCTCCGTTCTCCGGGTTCACCCACCTGAAATCATATCGAAACCAACGTTTTTCAAAAGAACAACAATATAAATATTTTAAAAAGTTCGTTCAGTCAACAAAAAGCGTAGACTAAGAGGGGTGGACCCACCGTTTTCGATGGGGCGCATAGTGGCTCCTTGGTCCTACACTCCTGTCCGACCATCGTGTCTTGATAGCTCGCCCATGACCGTCGGCCCATCAGTTCCTCGGCCACCCTCTCCAGCCCTACAAATCAGAACCGATTTAATTTTAACTCAACATCTAAGTAACCACATCGATCCAAATGTACCCTTTTATCGTCAAGAAGAGAGTGTGGCCGGGTTGCTGGCCAAAAAAAAAAAAAAAAAAAAAAAATTCAATGACTGAGTTAGGGAGGCTTAAAACTTAATTTTGTTTTCCCTATACACAGGACCACTCCTTGTCTAATATGCCTTCCTCACTCTAATTGTCAACAAAATGACTTCCCCATTGTTATGTACCATCCACCAGAAATCCAAAATAATATAAGTGATAAGGCTATTGAATTCAATTTCAACAATTGCAGGGATATGCTGTTATAAAATATAAAATGAAAGAATGTTATTATTACATATTTATACTTCTTGGCGGATATGTAAAAGCGGATGAAATGCATTACGTCGAACCCCCTAAAAAGTGTTTCAAAAATTATTAGCGCTACGACAAGTCAATTGAAATATGACGTTACAGGCTATACCGAACAGATACATTAAATACAATTCTTTAATCTTTAACTAATTTAAATAAAGGCCTAAAGCATGTATAAGAAATAACCAGACGATAACGCTCCCAACTTAAATTGCGGAAATTTAAGAATGAAGACGGAATTAATAACTCTGGATTAACTGGGGATGAATTTTTCATGGTTGATCGAATTCTGTCCTCCCTAATTCGTTCCGTACCCCGCCTTTTCTTTGCTATTCCTGTCTGAACCTTTTCCTTCTCTCTCTCTCTCTCTCTCTCTCTCTCTCTCTCTCTCTCTCTCTACTGAAAAGGCGAGGGGGTAGAGGGATGAGAGATAAGAGGGGAAGTATACAAGTTATTCCCGTCACACGCGAATAAACCGAAGGCAATTAATAAGAAAATCTGTAGGTAGGGTACATTCAACTGAAGGGATTATTGTTTAGTCAGTGTCTGGTTTATAATCTGAGGGTGTGGAATGGCTAGGGCAAGGGTTCAATCCCGAGGATGGGGTAGTAGACTGAAGGCGAAAAACCGGTTTTCTCACCGTAACCGGTTGCGGACACCGCTACCGGAGCGGTAGCCGTCCGACACTCCCAACGCACGGACTGAAGAGAACGTCCCATTCAACACTTACATACTACGAAATGTGCAAAAAATAAAATAAAAATATGACTGCATACTTGTAGCAGCATTCGAAAATGGATATCATATGGATTTGTTTCGCGCTCGACATTCTCTATCTCAGGTCCCATTCAACAATTACATAATATTGTGCTGGGGCAAAATTAACACAGGTTTTGAAAATTTATTTTATTTTCCCAAGTGCTTGTCATGTAAACAAAGCTAAATCCTCAAATCTAATTCATGGATTATAATAAATACTTTTAACTGTTATCTTTTATACAAAAAATTTTAGTTACATTGAATTTTATAAGAGTGAGGACCTGCGAAATTAAATATGACCAAATTAGATTTTCGTCAAATTTATTTGTACGAATTTTATCATGTGCGAAGTGCGGCCCAAAGTGCGCGTAACATCAATACAGTTAGGGGGATGGAAGCCTTAGTGAATGCCGGTGCAGCGATGGTTTCTGCGATTTCGTCTTGGAGATTCAATCTCGAAGAGAGAGAAGATCGCGTTAGGTCGTCCGTTGTGGACGACGACCAATTCAAACCGTTGATTGGAGAAAATTTACGTAAGACAACACGGGAAATTGTGGAAGAGCTTAGTGTTGACCACTCAACTGTAGCAAATTGGTAAATTTCAAGCTCGACAAGTGAGTACCGCATGAACTGAAGATCATGTCATTCTCGATCGAGTCATCACGTGTGATGAGAAATGGATTCTGTACGACAACAGGAGGCGTACAGGTCAGTAGTAGTTGGACAAGGATGAAGCATCAAAACACTTCCCGAAACCAAATCTACACCCGAAAAAGGTTTGGTGGTATACAGCTAGGGTTGTTCACAATAATTTTCTGAATTATGGTGAAACTATTACAACAAAGCAATATTTCCAAGAAATTGATAAAATGCACGAGAAACTGCAACGTCTTAGTATATTCCATCCACTCGTAGCTCGTATTCACCTGACCCCTCGCCTATAGACTTCCACTTTTTTAGGCATTTGTGATCACTTCTTGGGGAATAAAATTTTTAGATAAGGCAGTGAAGCCGAAAACGCCCTCCACTTTGCTGTGTGTCGAAATATAGTTTTTTTTATGTCTGCGGAATAAAAGCGCTTATTTCATTGGAAAAGATGTATAGTTGTGATGGAAAAAATTTCGAATAAATTTTCTTTATTTTATAAAAATTAAAAATAGTTTTGACTGTTCTTTCAAAAGTTGCGTTATTTTTGCACCAGCTCAATACAAAAACCGGCATGACTACATACCTGTAGCAGCATTCAAAAATAGATACATGGATTTGTTTTGCGTTCAACATTCTCTATGTCTCTTTTTGTCTTTATTATTTACTTTTTTATTTTAAATCTTAGTTTTTGGACAATGCTATCTAAAGACATTTCTGTTTTATCCCTTTTATTCCGCATTCCAACCACAAAATAAAACTTGCGTCCAACATGAAAAATCAAATGTGATATCCACCCTGATGTATATCTAAGACGGATATTTCTTAGGAACATGAATAAGTTGTTGCAATAAAAATTGTTTACTATAGTACAACTTATACTGAAGTACATATTATATATATATGTATTGGGGAATTTTTTGTTTTCTTTCTTTTGTTCTTTTTTTCTCTGTGTCGACCAAATATTTAAATCAAATGTAAATCGACCTCCGACAAACGGACCCACCATGCCATAAATTTACTTTAAATTACATATTATGTAATGTTTATAACTTTTCTTTTTTTGCAATAAAAGTATATTATTATTATTATTTATATTTTGGAGAATTAAAATTTTGTATTACGAACGTTGTAAAAGAAATTAAAAAAAAAATTCAACTCCAGGTAGATGTTTAAAATATATGATAGAGTAATATAATGATATATATATTACTATGAATGTACATAGTTTATACTTATATATGTTTATAAAATATTTATGCAGTCGAAAACGATAATAGCCAATTATATAATAGATAGTGCTGATACATGTATACAAATGCATCAGTACTATCTATTGTTTTTGACTGCCATTTTTTCTTATTAAAAGTTAGTGATGTCGTTCCGTTTAGTCAATTAGACTAATTTTGAAATCGCTTTCATACGTTGCAAATTAATTTGAATAAAACATATCTACAACATTTTAAAAATGCATAAATGTGTATTTATGCTATTAATGACGTCTTTTGATTTAATCGCGATTCCGGTTCTCGTTAAAAATCGGATCGACGACGATTTCTCGGCACAAATCCGTATAAAATGATTTTAAAACAAAGGCCGTGGTTTTGAGAGCTTCTGAAGGTAAGGACCGTTTGTCTTAGAGCTGTACACATCTGCAATATACAGACCACGTAAGTATATTGTAGTACTATTTAGAATAGAAAACACAAGTTAAAAAAATACGAGTTAAAGATTTTTTTTACTGTTTTATGTATTTAGTTTTATTTTTCGGATTTTACAGGGTGAAAAGTAGAAAGCTTCATCCATTCATCGTATGAAAGACATATTCACTTTGTGATTGAACTCATCCAAAACGGATTTTCCATCATTCGAGATTTTTTTAACCCATCCACCACCCCCGCCTTTGGGAGACCCTATACCGGCGGACCACGCCAAACTAAAAACTGGGAATGTGAAACAGAGAAGGGAGAAATGTTTAAGCTTATCGTCTTCATCGAGCCTTGCCTTATGAACGTATGGGGATTTATTTTCTTTGAGTTTAAATTATCTTGAGCTAATGGGTCTCCCCTTGCTGGTTTCCTCTTTACATTTATATATATGTATATTTTTTTTTTTGGGGACGATTTTGACTAATATGTTGACCAGAATTCCATGATTCTTGATATTGATAATTGTTCGGAGGAGAACCGTTCTGTGTGGAACGTTTGAGAATGCGAGACCTTTGGGCAAATGGGAGAATGGCGGCGGGCCGTTCTTAGGCAAGAAAGAAAATGTCTGCCGGTAGCTACGAATCTTTAGACCGACCCTCGATCCACGAACGCCCAATCGGGGCCCGCTCTACGACTGCCTTGCCTCCCGGTCACCTTGACTTGGCGGAGGGACCGCGACTCGATTCGTCCCAACTAGCTTTCAATTTATAATTGCACAATCCGCAAATTATCGGCCCGAATTCAACTTAAGACATTGATACTGTTTCTACACAATCTGTAGCCAATAAATCTTACAATAATTACATTCCGTATCGTGTTTTTTGTCTCGACAATTAATGAGTTTACAAACGTCTTTAGAGGAATGGCATGACGTTTTTTCCTAAATAAAAACAGCACAAATATTTCGGAGTTTTCATTTTGATTTTTAAGAAGCCATTATTGCCAAACAACCGAACCTACCGTCTCGACCTATTGAGGAGTCGAAAAGATCAACATTTGAGTATAAATTCCGGTAAGAGTACATACTATATTCGGGGTGTATCAACATCTAAAGCCCACCCATTTAATTCGAAAATGTCTTTACTTTACCAAAAAATGGTCTTATACCACGTTAATTTTGGCTAGGAATCGCGTGATGGTAACATAACTTTCCCATCTAGCTGGGAAATGACACTAACTTTGTTATTTTAAATCAGAAGCTCATATTTTTATTGCACAATTCTATTCTACAACTTATTTAATGCAACGTTTACAGAAAGGGAAATCGGGTCGACCATTTCTGAGTTATGCCAGACGGAAGATGCGTAAGGGTGTATGCTTTTTGTGTCAACAAGATGGCCTTCCCTGTTTTAGATTTAAAATGCAGGGGTTTTATACTGTGCCTTTTTTCGTAGTGAGCGTATTTGAGCATTTATTATATACACAAATTTTAATAAATGTCAAATCTGCAACAATACAAAATAACAGCTGAGAGAACCCCCTCCACGCGTCTTCCGTCTTGCATAACTCAGAGATGGTCAATCCTATCAAAATTTTCTTTTCGGTAAAAGCGGCTAAAAATAAGCTGTAGAATAGAATTGTGAATAAAAATTTGGTCTTCTCATT